ATACCACCCCAGCCCCAGAAGGCCAGAAGAGCGAGTCCTGAAGTCAGTTCTAAGCTTGGGACAGCTCCCAGACCCGGACAGCTCCTGAGCAAGGTGGGAGCAGGGCCGGCCCGCTCCCCTCCCCCGCACAGCCCGCCTAGCTCATCCTCACCTCGCATTCTCGAACCGCCACCGCCTCCGCCGCCACCGCCGCCCGTGGGGGAGTTGGGCCCCGCGGACTGCTTGCGCCATCCTCGCCAGTTCTGGCAAAGGCTCTCGGCCTCAGAGATGAAGGAACACAGTGAATCCTCCTCAAAGCGGTCGGAATCCTCGAACGAGAAGCGCTCACCGTCCTCCCACTCCGCAAACATCAGCTCCATGGGGCCTGCACCCCCAGGGGCCGGGTCCCCCCCCGCGGATCCGGGGCCTGGGCCGCCGGCCGGGGACGGAGGGGAGGCCCGGGGCCTGAGGGGCGAGCCCGGGCTGGGGGTGGCCGGGGCGCTCAGGGCGGCCGAACGGGGCGGGGAGCTCAAGCCGGGGAGGGATACCGCGCCGGGCCTTGCCCAACAGCGGGGTCCGAACGGGAATTGTGGCCAGGCTGCGAGACTCGGGGCCCGGACGAGGCGCTGGGCTGCCAGGGCCTCTCGGCGGCTGCGGCGCCGCCTCCCCCATCAGCTGATCCGCACTTCCGGCCGCGCCGGCCATCACCACTTCCGCCCTCGCGCGCTCCTGAACTGGACCGCGTACGGGCGGGTGTAGGGGACACGTTTGTTTAATTGCTGCATTTCGTGTTGCTTTCTTGAGCCCGCTCTCATACCAAGAAGCCAGCTCCCAAGGGTGTCTGGACGACTAGCGAGTCCAGCAGGCCCTCTCTGTCCATAACGCCCCTAAACCGCCGCGTTGTCGTCCAGAACCGTAGGCTGTCAAGAGACACCGCAGTGACCATTGGATAGAGCTTATTGTCCAGACTCAGGATAGACCCTAGGGCCGCATTGCTTTCTGGGAACTGCAGTCCAGAAGCCTGTACTCCACACTTCAAAGGGACTAACGGGATGTACCAGAAGAAAAAAAGGCATTTGGTCTCAGGAAGTAGTTGTGCCTTTCCTGTTTTACTTTTGAATCTAGGAATTCTCTTGTTTTTCAGTGCGTGTGTGTGTGTGAGCACTAGCACGCGTGTGGTGCCAGTGGAGGGCAGAAGAGGATGTCAGAGCCCCTGGCTGGAGGTACAGGCTGTGAGCCACCTGGTGTGGATATTGGGTACTGAACTCCGGTCCTCTAGAAGAAGAGTAAGAGCTTCTAAAAATTTTTTTGTGTATCATGTATGAGTATTTTGCATGTATATATGTGCATCGCACCCATGCAACGCCCACAGAGCCAGAAGAGGACACTGGATCCTCTGGAACTGTTGTTACAGGCACAGCCAGTTGTGAGTTGCCCTCTGGGGGCTGGGAAAAAACCTAAGTTCTTTTAAGAGCAAGTGCTTTTAACTGCTGAGCCATCTCTCCAGCCCTAAATCTAGAAATTCTTAATCTTTTGTGTGTGTTTGTGCAAGTGATATAGACTGTAGAAGTCTAATGAAGTCCATGGATGCCCTCCTCCCCGCCTTGTTATGAATTATAATCAACTATGTTTAAACACAATTAACAAGACATTACTAAAACAAATTTGCAACACAGTATTGTTTATACATTAAATGACAATATTGGGTTGGGTTTGTAACTCATTGGCAATATTTGCTTAGCATTTACAAAGCCCTGGGGTCATGGGTTCAATTCCCAGCACCCATATGGCAGCTAACAACTGTAACTCCCATTCCAGGGGATCCAACACCCTCTACTCATCACCACAGGCATTGCATGACACAGGTGCACTTACATACATGCAGGCAATATACTCATACACATAAAATAAAAAATCTTTAAAAAAACAAGGCCCTAGGGTCAATGCCCAGCAGCTCTTGAAAAAAATAATTCATATGAGTATTAATATTACTGTGGTTTGTTTCCTGTAACCCTAATTGAAATGCTAAATTTCAGTTGTGGTTATAGATGTTTCCCCCCCCCACAGGTGTCTTACTGATAGTCCACTAACCATAAGTTAAGGATTCATTAGCCAAAGTACCCCCAAATCCAACTTCTTGATTATGCCTGAAAGGGAAAAGTATATATAAAATGCTGCACAATTGTTTCTAATATCAGGGGATCAAAGAAGTAAGCACCTTCAGCAAGCTGCACATGACTTAAAAGTGAATAGTAATACACAAGCTAATTGCCTATCAAGGTTCAGTTCCATCATTTGGGAGAATGAAGTGGAAAGTCACTGGACTACTAGAGTAAATGATAATCAGCTATGCCTAGTTACTATCACACAGAATGAAGGAGGAAAAAGTGAAGATACCTGATTTTTCCCCCCCAATTTCTTAGGTAAAAAAAGACATTTTTTCTTTTCTTTTCTTTTCTTTTTTTTTTTTTTTTTTTTTTGAGACAGGGTATCCTTGTAACTGGAAGCTGACCTGGAACTCACTACGTAGACCAGACTGGCCTTGAATCAGAGATCCACCAGCCTCTGCCTCTCAAAAGCTGGGACTAAAGGTTGTGCCACCACATCCAGCAGGTAAGATTTTTTAAGCTTTATGTGTGTGTGATGTGAGAGCATCAGGAGTCAGGTCCCCTGGAGCTGGAACTACAGGTAGCTAAGCACTGTCTTCATGGTACTGGGAACTGAACTGTGCTCTGAGAGAGCAGCAAATGCTCTTAATTGCTGAACCATCTCTCTAGCCCCTAAAAACTTTTTTTGTTTAAATTTTTTGTGTATGAATATTTTGCCTGCATCTATGTAAGTACACTATGAGCATGCAATGCCCAAATTCAGAACAGGGTGTTAGATCCCCTGGAACTAGAGGTACAGCCAGTTGTTAGCTACCATGTGAGTCCTGGGAACCAAACCCAGATCCTCTATAGGGGCAGTCAGTGTTCTTAACTGTTGAGCCATCTCTCCAGTGGCCCCTAAAAACTTTAAAATTGTACAAGTCAAATGAAATATATCTGCAGAACCTCTGGGTCACCAGTTTGCATTTTATTTAACAAGTACCTTGGAGGGACTAGGCATGAAATATGCACTCATTAAATATAGCTGATAGCAAAAAGCTCTGCATACAGAGAGACTTCACTAACCTTTGTATCTAAAGACAAGAACACTAAACGGTGTAAAGGCCTTCAAATGCAAGAAAAGACATCATACTTGTTCATCTAGGGCATAGTAGGAAAAAAAGAACTTCCATGGTTTTGGGGAGAGTACACGGTTCAAGAAAGAAGGTTTAGCTCAGTTCAGGATGGGGATAGGTGGGTAAGGAGAGAGTATCTAATTCAGGATAAATGGCCAATTTCTCCTTAGAGAGTTTTATTTCAGAACAAGGCATAACTTCCATCCAGAGCATGCTTCCAAAGAGCAAAATAAAGTGTTCTGCCTCATTTTACCCTTCCAAAATGCGTTTTAGTACAAATGCAAACATTCCTAAAATGCCCCTGCACATTTCAGAAATGACAATCCAATCACTGAAACTGTTTCTCCATTTTCAGCTGAGATGAGATTTGTTAGGAAACCTTTGTAATAACTTAGTCATTTTGGAAGGAGGTAAACTCCCAGACTGTCCCAGGGACTCCTGGATTAATCTCATCTTTCCGGCTTCCTGAAAAGACAACAAAAACAACAATAACAGTTGTTAAGTTTTCCCTGATATAGTCTCATAGTTTGTAGGGTACACTAAACCCCAAGAGACCCTGCCTCAAAGAATAAGGTAGAAGAGCAATGGAGGAAGATTCCTGACATCAACCTCGGACCAGCACACAAGCACCACTTCTTAGTGGTACCCACACATGTGCCTACACACAACAGAACAGGCAAGCATGTACAAAGACAGGAAAAGAAGACAAAGGCAACAAAGGATTTGGGACCTAGAAACGTCTATGATCTGGAGCTGTTAAGCCAGCTAGCAAGTAAATGGAGGCTGGAGACAAACATGTCCTTAAATGGCTTCACTCTATTTCAAACAGTAATGGCTAGCTGACAGCAAGATAAATCTGTCAAAGTAGTTTAGCATTACTTTCCTCTAACACTGGCATATTAATGTTTTGTTTATTTTTTGGTCTTTTTGAGACAGGATCTCCCTGTAGCTCCAGCTGTCCTGGAACTCACTATGTAAACCAGGCTGGCCTTGAACTCACAGAGATGCGCCTCCCTCTGCCTCCTGAGTGCTGGGATTAAAGGCATGAGCTACCATTCCCCACCATATTAGTGTATTTTGACCTCACCTTTCACATAGCAAAGCTCAAGTTCAGAATCATATAAGAAATGAAGATCAACCATTTTCACAACTTTAACTTTTCGCTTTTTTTTTTTTTTTTTTTTTTTTTTTTTTAATGTTCAAAGTGAGACAGGGTGTCACTATGCAGCTCTGGCTGGCCTGGAAGTCTCTATGTAGAGTAGACCAGGTTGGCCTCAATCTCAGAGAGATCTGCCAGCCTCTGCCTCCGGAGCAGTGGAATTAAAGGCGTGTGCCACCATGCCCGGCACTTTTCCCTCTTTGGCATGGGTGAACTATCTCCCAAATTAATACGAGGAACTTTCGATAACCTAGCAAAAAGCAGGAAGAACCTTTATCCACACTTCCCTACTCTCTTCCCAACAAGGCACCCCAGGAGCTAGCTGTCACCTGAGCCTTGAAAGAACAATCGAAGAAATCCTTGATTTCTTTACTGCACGCCTCATCGCGGAATTCGTTCTGCTTCCAGCAAGCCATCATCACTGACATCTCCGTGATACAGGTCGCCTCTGCAGCGGAAGAACTGGGGGACCGTCAGTCACCAGCGGACCTGGACCTTTCCCGCGCTCCTAAACAGCCGCCCTGCTCCCAACCCTGGGGTGTCAGCCCTAGGGGCTCCCCGGCCCCGAGTGCTCACCGCCCTTCTCCCGGCGTCGGCTCCCAACGCGGTTGGCTAGGATGAGGGGCTTGTTCGGCTTCAGGATAGGCTTCCTGGGGTTGGCCAGCCGCACCAAGCGGCCCCGCAAGCTGGGCGTCGCCATCTTACTCCAGTTCCCAGCAAGCTCCGCGGCGGTATGTGTGACTCCACCTCACCCTTACCTCCTTGGCGCACCGCCCATGGACAGCTGCGCGCGCACCTTCTTTTTCTTGGTACTCTCTGGGTTCGAACCCCTGCCCCGCCCACACTGGTCACCAGGTTAGGCTTGCTCCTCTGTGGGCTCTGGGCCAGGGCAGGACTGGCCAGGGGACACCCAGAACAGGCCTGCAGGCATGGACTCTCTTATCCGGTTCTTGCCATTTGGTCTAATGACTGGAGAAGATCATTGACAAAGCAAAGGGCAAAGAGGAGGGGAGCGAAACAGAATAGATTTTATGGTGTTAGGTCTGCCCTGCTGTTATCCTAGCATTCCCGAAGCTGAGGCAAGAGAATCGCCCTGACTGCCAGGCCAGCCTGAAAGCTACTCTATGAGACCTTGTCCTCCGAAACCAAAGGAAATAAACTTCCAAAGCCAAGCATGGTGACTTCCGTAACTTCCGTGCTGGGGAGGCTGAGGCAGGAGAATTGACATTAGTTCTAAGCCAGCCTGGTCTCGAACTTCCTGTGTCGCCCAGGATGATCTTGGACTTCTTAACCGCCTACCTCCGCATCTCCTGAGTGCTGACATTACAAGTGTGAATCATCAAAACCAAATAAAATTTTTCTAAAAATTAATTTTTGCTGGGTGCAGTGGCAGACGCCTTTAGAGTCCCAGCACTTGGGAGGTAGAGGTGGATGGATCTCTGCGAGGCCAACATGGTCTACATAGTGAGTTCCAGGCCAGCTGGAGCTATAGGGAAACCCTGTCTCAAAACAAAAAAATAAATAAGTGACTGGAGAAATGTCTTAGCGGTTAAGAGTACTTGCTGGCCTTGCAGAGGACCCAGATTCAGCTCCCAGCACTCACATAGTGGCTAACAGATAATACGTAACTCCGGTTCCAGAGATTCCAATGCCCTCTTCTAGCCTCTTTAGGCACTGCACGCACATGGTGCACTTAACACACAGGCAAAACACTCACAAAAAATACAAAGAAGGGCCTGGAGAGATGGCTCAGCAGTTAAAAGCACTGACTGCTCTTGCTGAGGACCCATATTCAGTTCCCAGCACCCACTTGTTAACTAACAACCATCCCTAACTCCGGTTCCAGGGGATCTATTGTCCTCTTCTGACCTCCATGGGTATTGCATGACACAGGTGCACTTACATACATGCAGGCAATATACTCTTGCACATAAAATAGAACAAAAAAAAATTTTTTTTTTGGTCTTTTTGAGACAGGGTCTCTCCCCTGTAGCCTCAGCTGTCCTGGAACTCACTCACTATGTGGACCAGGCTGGCCTTGACGTCAGAGAGATCTGCCTGCCTCTGCCTCCCGAATGCTGGGATTAAAGGCGTGCATCACCACGCCCGGCTTTTAAAATAAAATATTTTTAAAATACAAAGAAATGGGCCAGGCGAGATGGCACACACCTTTAATCCCAGCACTTGGGAGGCAGAGGCTGGCAGATTTCTGTGAGTTCGAGGCCAGCCTGGTCTCCATAGTGAATCCAGGCCAGCTGTGGCTACAGGGAGACCCTGTCTCAAAAAGACCAAAAAATAAAAGAAAAAAAAAAAGGCATGCACTACCACGCCCGGCACCCCGCCCCAATTAAAAAAAATATTATTTTTATTTATATGAATGTATTACCTACATGTATGTAAGTGCATGTTGTGCAATGCCTGTGACGGTCCAAAGACATCAGATTCCCCTGGAACTCGAGTTACAAATGGTTGTTAACCTCCGTGTGCGTGCTGGGAACTGAACCCAGGTCCTCTGTAAGAGCAGCCAATGCTCTTAACCACTGAGCCATCTCTCCAACCCCCCCCTCCAAAATTCTTTTTTTCTTTTAGTCTTTTTGAGACAAGATCTCCCTGTAGCCCCAGCCGTCCTAGAACTCACTATGTAGACCAGGCCAGGCTCAAACACAGAGATCTGCCTGCCTCTGCCTCCTGAGTGCTGGGACTACGGGCGTGCGCCACCATGACTGGCTAAAAATTAAATTTTTAAAAGAAATGTGAGGTTGGAAAATATTTTTGTTTTAATAAATCTACAAGAAATTGCTTTTTACTACCTTTAGGGCTATTCTAAAAACTGAAGAAAAATTAAGCCCCTTTATTTTATAACAAATAGTATTTAGGTGCCATTTGCACATTTGTTACGATCCTATTGCAGAGGCTGAGGTTTAAAAGGTTTCACATTTATCATCTGATTTAGTGAAGCACTGTGGTAGTATCATTGCTGTTTATGGACTTGGATCTCCAGTTGTAGTTGCTTCATCACTTTGTTCTTTTAGCTGTTTACAAATCTCAACCCAAGGATGTGTCACAAATTCTTAAGGCATTTCCAAATGAGCTCCAAGACACTTCTGCAAATGGAAGTGAATCCCAAGAAGCATGTAGTTTGTAAGATGTCTACTTTAGAGGACAAAGGTTTACTTGGATGGGCACATTGGTGTTAAAATCACTTATTACAAATGTTTGGAAATTTCCTACTGGTATCTACTTGGCTTGTTTTCTTCCTGAGTCTCAGTTCTTGTCAGAGATGTCTTTCCTGATTTGCCATGCCCTTCCACCATCAACCCTCTTCAGAGCAACCATCACAGCCTGAATTTATTGTCTGTGGCTTTATATTGCTCGGCATCTATTTTAAAATGTAAGCACAGGGCTGGAGAGATGGTTCAGCAGTTAAGAGTATCTGCTGCTCTTCCAAAGGACCCAGAGTTTGGTTCCCAGTACCCACTTCCCGTGGCTCACTACCACTTGTAACTCCAACTCCAGGGGATCTTGATGCCCTCTTCTGGCCTCCATGGTCACTCACACACATGTGGCATACACATAAAAATATAAAAAATCTTGTCGTCCCGGGCGTGGTGGCCCACTCCTTTAATCCTAGCACTCAGGAGGCAGAGGCAGGCAGATTTCTGTGAGTTCAAGGCCAGCTTGGTCTACATAGTGAGTTCCAGGACAGCTGGGGCTACAGGGAGACCCTGTCTCAAAAAAACCAAAAAAAAAAAAAAAAACCTTGTCACTGATGTGGTGGTGCACACCTTTAATCCTGGCACTCAGAAGGCAGAGGTTGGCAGATCTCTGTGACTTAGAAGCCAGCCTGGTCTATAGAGAAAAGTTCCAGGTCAGCCAGGGCTACATAGTGAGACCCTGACCCCCGAAAATCTTTAAAATGTAAACACTTGCCGGGCGCGGTGGCGCATGGCTGCCTGTAATCTCAGCACTTGGGAGGCAGAGGCAGGCAGATCTCTGTGAGTTGAAGGCCAGCCTGGTCTACTTAGTGAGTTCCAGGACACCTGGGGCTACAGGGAGACCCTGTCTCAAAAAGACAAACAAACAAACAAAACACCATGAGAGAAAGAATCTTTGTGTATGTTCTTCACTACTGAATCCCCAGTGTCTAAAATATTGCCAATAAATAGTTGTTAAATGAAAATGCCAGGTGTAGTAGCCTCTGCTGGTAATCCCAGCTAGCATTTAGAAGACTGAGGCAGGAGGAGCATCATGGGTGTGAGACCAAGCAAACTAGAGTCACAATACCATGACCCCATCTCAAAGAAACAAAAAGAAAACAAATGAAACAAAAATTAAATTAACAAATATTTAACATTATTTTTACAAATGTCAGATTTTATCATCTCCAACCCCCAAAAGTAAGCAGGCGGGGCCAGCAACATGGCTCGGTTGGGTGGGTAAAAGGTGCTTGTGGTTAGGCCTACCAACTTGAGTTTGATCCCTGGAACCCACAGGGGGGAGGGAGAACCAACTCCTGCAAGTTGTCCTCTGACCTCCACACATACACTGTGGTACAGGAGTGCCCACACATATATACACACAATAAACAAATGTAATAAAAAAGTAACCAGGTAGAAGACACTAGGTAAAAAGTAGTTTATTATATAAAATGCAACCTGAGATAATAGAAAACAGCAACACTTGTATTACGTAATGCAGGCATCCATGGTGACTCTACCCCATACTTTAGTAGTTGGACTCCTATCAGAAACTGCTACTAGTACCCCACCCTGTAGCAAATACAAGGTAGCTGAGCCCTATATCAGAAAAACTCACTTTTCTTGCTTCCTCCATGTGGAAAGTAAAGGTTTTTTGTTTGTTTTTTTTTTTTATCTTTTTGAGACAGGGTCTCCCTGTAGCCCCAGCTGTCCTGGAACTCACTAAGTAGACCAGGCTGGCCTTGAACTCACAGAGCTCCACCTGCCTCTGCCTCCCAAGTGCTGGGATTAAAGGGGTGCGCCACCACGCCTGGTGGAAAGTAAAGTTTTTAATCATTAAATACTATGTGGCTATCCCTAGTTCTTTCCCATGTGGAAACATAGCACCTGATTTACCTGTTCTTTTGTGAACATAATGACAGGGATAAAGGGAAAGAATCTGGGAAGCACTGAGCACAAAGCAAGACCAGAGTCTTCAGCAACAACCATTCATAAACTGGATGGCTTTGTGCATGTGATAAAGGAGCACTAATGTGAGCTGGTGTAATTAAGGATGATTCTACACCTTGCATAACCACTTACCTTTCTTATTGCACCTGACAGAAGTCCTAATCTAGGTTTCACTTATGTAATATTTACTTTGCAAAGTGAATCAGCATCTGCATCAATATGGATTGCAAGTTTAGAAACCAGAGTCCTGTGTTTCACTTCTTTTGTACTATAAAATGTTAATTTTTTTTAAAGACAGTTCCAAGCTGGCCTGGAACTCAAGGACCCTCCTGTTTTCTATGTATTTTTAAAGGTCCTTCCCTCTTATTCTCTGCAAGAGATCAAACAGACTAAACAAATTTTCCATGTTTTTATAAAGGACATCTTTTACAAAAGAGCTGGGGATAGAGCTCAGAGGCAGAGGCAGAGCACATGCTTAGTATGGGCAAGGCCCTGGATCCAATCTCCAGCAACACACACACACACACACACACACACACAATCACATGAATAAAATAAAAATTAGGAATTAAATCCAGCCTAAGTTTCCATTTTTCTTGGTTATATCCCTGGATGTCATAATATTAAGCAAGAAACCTAGTTGCTAAAGCATCTAACATGCATACATACCTATGTAGATATGGTATCTAGATACCTTTATAATCAGATACATTGATAAGGTATGAGACTTCTCTAGTGATAATTCACTAATATAACCAGCATAGCTCCAAGGGCCAAGGGACTCCTTCTTATTGTCTCAGAAAAAAATCATGGTTCCCTTATGCATTGGGCTGTTATGTTCAAACCTCAGCAGTAGACAGTTGGATTGCTTCCCTAAGTCTGATTAAGGTTCTTATTAAATTGCCTATTTATGATGATGGCTTAAAAACCTTGCCTTAGCCGGGCGTGGTGGCACATGCCTTTAATCCCAGTACTCGGGAGGCAGAGTCAGGCGATCTCTTTAAATTCAAGGCCAGCCTGGTTTACACAGTGAGTTCCAGGACAGCTGGGGCTACAGGGAAACCCTGTCTCAAAAAGACCAAAAGCTGGGCATAGTGGCGCACGCCTTTAATCCCAGCACTTGGGAGGCAGAGGTAGGTGGATCTCTGTGAGTTCAATGCCAGCCTGGTCTACATAGTGGGTTCCAGGTCAGCTAGGGCTACAGGGAGACCCTGTCTCAAAAAAGACAAAACAACAACAACAACAACAAAAAAAAAAAATCTTGCCTTTAAAAAAAAAAAACCTTGCCTTGCCTCTTCATCTCTTCGAATTTAGGGCCTTTGATGGGCTTTATCAAACAATCTCAGCACTGAGGCTGGAGAAATGGCTCAGCAGTTAAAAGCACTGGCTGTTCTTGCAGAGAACAGTTTGATTCCCAGCACCACACAACCACTAACAACTGTCATAACTCCAGTTCTAGGGAAATCCAACGCCCTCTTCTGACCTCCACAGGCATTGCACATGCAGGAAATACACTCATACACATAAACTAAAAATAATACAAAATATATTAAAAAAAAAAAAAATCTCTGCCAGGAGGGGTGGCGCACGCCTTTAATCTCAGCACTTGGGAGGCAGAGGCAGGTGGATCTCTGTGAGTTCAAGGCCAGCCTGGCTACATAGTGAGTTCCAGGACAGCTGGGGCTAAAGGGAGACCCTGGCTCAAAAAGACCAAAAAAAAAAAAAAAATTTTATGTGTATGAGTGTGTTACTTGCATGAATGTGCACCATATGTGTGCCTGGTGTCTCAGAGGCCAGAAGTGGGTGTCAAATCCCCTGGAACTGGTCAGGCATTGCTATGTGGGTGCTGGGATTTGAACCTGGGTCCTCTGCAAGAGCAGCAAATGCTCTTAACCACTGAGACATTTCTCTAGTCCTTATTTATGCTCTTAACTGCTGAGTCATATTTCCAAACCCTTTGTCTCCATTTTTTAAAATTTAAAACAAAACAGGGTAGTACACTGAATTGATATTAGTGTTGTATATTGTTTATAAGCAATCAGAACAACAGAAAGGTTTGTGGATCTCCATCTGAAATTATGGGAAAAGGCCTAAAAACAGAAAGAAAAATCCATTAAAAATAAAAACATTTGATATGAAAGGCAATTAAAATATCTTTTAAGCAAGCTGAGGGGCCAGGTGTGGTAGCACATGCGTTTAATCTCAGCACTCAGGGGGAGGCAGAGGCAAGAGGATCTCTGTGAGTTCCAGGTCAGCTGGGGCCACAGGGAGACCCTGTCTCAAAGGGACAAAAAATAAAAAAGCAAGACGAGAAAAGGAAATTATCAAGAAAGGTACTAAATTAGGAGATATGGGGAGTAGAATGTAAGTTTTAGATCCTGTGGCCCATTTTACCCACATGTGAGAATATGAAACCTCTAGAGGTGTATAAAGTCCTTTAAAAATTCTGTTGGCTAGGACTTTGTGTCACATGGGTGTTTCAGGTGTCTACCCCTTGGTGAGGAGAGGCTATTCCCACAGGATGAGATACTGGCTACATACCATTCAGATAAAGCAGAGAGGCTGAGGATGGTGGCACAGACCTTTAATCCCAGCACTTGGGAGGCAGAGGCAGGTAGACTGCCATGAGTCCAAGGCCAACCTGTTCTACATAGTATGTTCCAAACCAGTCAGGGCTGGTTTTGTTTCGAAAACAAACAAAACCTAAAAGTGGAAAGGGCTGAGTATGTGGCTCATTGATAGAGTACTTGCCTAGCATGCTGAAAACCCCAGGTTCCATCTCTAGCATAAGGGGGAAAAAAAAATCAGTCACTATATCAAATCATGATAAGACAATGTTGACCAAAGTCTTGTCCGGTAGATGCACCTCAGGTTGCCAAGGTAGAACAGTCTCCTTATATCTTCCAAGTTAAAAGTTCATCTTCCAAGGGCAGTTAGAGATTTTGATTTCTCTTCATGAAGATCTGATGTAGATAATCCCAGAATTTCTTCTGCTGTGTCTCATTGTTGTGGATCATGGCAGTGAGTGCTTCCCCCTGGTCCAGACCTTGCCAATAATCCTGCAGCCACATCTCCTTCCAGCTGAAATAACAAAATGGGAGGAGAGAGGATTATAGAACCATAGCAGAGATGGATGGGTCCTGCCTTTCCTTCCTTGAGTGAGGTCAAAGAAATCTGAAGCAGATATTGTGGCTTCTGACTAGGACAAGGCTCTGCAGTGAAGGGAAGGAGATGTGAAGTGCATCTATCTAGCACTAGTCCAAGTGACAGAGTAAGCCATAAACATAAAGACCTCATGGTACACCCAATGAGTCAAAGTTGCTGACTTGTATCCTAAATGTAGAGAGGGTTCAAAAGACAGTTGCAGTGGGGTCCAGACCATGGAAGTTGTAGTCTTCTCCAGGAAATCAAGGGAGCTGGGAGGGACCTTTAGATGGTTCTATTTTAACTTCCACCTTTATTTCAAAAATCAAAATAGATTTTAAAAAATCTAGTATTTAGGAATGACAGAAACTGATTTTTTTCTTTTTTTTCTTTTGAGGAAACAGGGTTTCAAAATAGCCTAGGCTGGCCTCAAACTCTCTCTCTATAGCCAACAATGACCTTGAATTTCTGATCCTGATCCTCCTGCCTTTGCTCCCTAAGTATTAGGATTACAGGTGTGTACCACCATGCCAGGCTATTTCTTTCCTTCTTTCCTTCCTTCCTTCCTTCCTTCCTTCCTTCCTTCCTTCCTTCCTTCCTTCCTCCCTCCCTCCCTCTCTCTCCTTTCTTTTTGTATTTTTGAGACAGGGTCTCCCTGTAGCCCCAGCTGGCCTGGAACTCACTATGTTGACCAGACTGGCCTCAAACTCACAGAGCCTGCCTGTCTCTGTCTCCTGAGTGCTAGGATTAAAGACATGCACCACCAGAACCAGCCATAGACTATCAATGTTTCACATTTTTCCTTTAGTAAGTCATATGTTCGGTATAAACTAGACAAACTCTTAGTGGAAGACTATCATCAAGACCCAACTATACCAGCAGCATATATAAACAGTCCTCTGCTGCCCTCCACTGTCCAACTCCCAGTTACTTTCTGCAAGCCATTCTGATGGCCTCTCTCCAGTTTAATCTTCTCACTCCAAGTGGCTTCACCATTTTCCCATTCCATCTCCCATGTAGACCTCATTTCCCAAGGCTACCCTCTTCTGCTGCCTACTCACTTCCCTTCCATTCCATCTCACATAGCCTGCCATTGTTTATTCTAAACCTTTTGAAAACAGACCACCAATTCTGTCTAGAGTGAACACATCAGGATATGATCCAAATCAAGATATTTCAAAGTGAAAGGAGGGCTGAGAGAACAGCTCAGTGGTAAAGTGCCCGCTTAGCATACTTGAGGCCCTGAATCCAGTCTCAGTCTCTCTCTCTCTCCCTCTCTCTCTCTCTCTCCCACACAAAGGTAAAAGTAGGTGTTTTGATAGGTATGCTCATTCATGACTGTAACCTTAGCACTTAGAACAGGATTACAAAAAATTTGAGAACAGCCTGGGCTACAGAGTCAAACTATATAAAGAAAAATTGTTTTCCAGGTATGCTGTCCCATGCCCTTAATCCCAACACTCAGGGGACAGAGGCAGGCAGGCAGATCTCTTTGAGTTTGAGGCCAACGTGGTCTACATAGAGAGTTCCAGGCCTACCAGGGGCTACATAGTGAGACCCTTCCTCAACAAAAAATTTATTAAGGTGGGAGGAAGAATGCTGAGTGAAAATGTAGTATCAAAAGGTTACAGGCTGGGCATGGTAGCATGCCTTTGATCCTAAAACTCCAGAGGCAGAAGCAGGCTGCTCTCTGTAGACTGAGGTCAGCTTGGTCTACATAGTGAGTTCCAGGCCAGCTGGGGCTACAGGGAGACCCTGTCTCAAACAATCCAAAAAGAAAAAAGTTCTATACTGAGGCCCAATTGGTCAAGAACTTTCCTAACATGCATGAAGCCCAGACTGAGCATTGTATAAATCAGATGCAGTAACATACTGTTGTTTTTTTTCAAGTGAGTGCTATTAGTGTCTGGTCAACTGACTACTGCAGAAAAAAAAAAAAAAAAAAAAAACATTAAGCTCTTCTTGGACTGGGATGTGACTGTGGAATAGTACCTGCATCCCATGCACAAGGCCCAGGGACCAATCTCCAGCCAAACACTTCATCTTTGTCCTCCTAACCCCCCACATCAAAGGTACTCAGCTGAGGTAATTTTTTTTTTTTCCAGGTCTGTCCAAACTCCTCAGCTTGGTAGTCAGGCTATTTACAGCCTGGCCTCAGTTTCTGTGCTCATCTTCTCTTCTTCAACCCCCTTCTTGTTTTAAATCACTGTTAGAAACACTATCACATAAGCTGGTTTTCATGGTACCTTAAATTATATTTTCCATTTTAGACAGGGTCTCACTATTTGGTTCAGGTGGCTTGAAACTTGTGGTCCTCCTGCCTCAGCCTCCTGGAGTGCTGGAACTACAGCAGCATGCACTATCATGCCAGGATGTAGTTTACATTTTCCCTCAGCTTCTTCACTTTGTCTTACCTCCCCATACTCTACATGTGTGTGTTTTGAGACAGGGTCTTGCTAGGTAGCCCTGGAACTTGAAGCAGTAGTACTGCCTTAGCCTCCAGAGTGCTGGGGGCTGTGCTACCACACACGCCTTTTTTTTTTTTTTTTTTTTTTTTTTTTTTTTTTTTTTAACCTGTAGCCCCAGTTGTCCTGGAACTCACTATGTAGACCAGGATGGCCTTGAACTCACAGAGATCCGCCTGCCTCTGCCTCCCAAGTGCTGGGACCACAGGCGTGCGCCACCATGCCCCGCCACACCCACCTTTTAATCTTTATTATTATTGTTATTCTCAGTCTTTTTGTGACAGGGTCTCCCTGTACCCCAAGATGACCTGGAACTCGCTATGTAAACCAGGCTGGCCTCAATCTCAGGAGATATAGATCTGCCTGCCTCTGCCTCCTGAGAGCTGGGATTGAAGGCCTGCACCACCACTCCCCGCTATTATTATTGAGAGAGGGTCTTACTATGTGTAACTTAGGACGACTTCCAACTCCAGTCCTCCTGCCTCAGCCTCCCCACTGCTGGGACTACAGGTGTATGCCACTACACCCAGCTCCCCAACGACTTCTGACATCCTAAAGGCAAAGTGAGTCTGTGAGATGTCCATAGTAACCAAGTGATTTGGTATTACAGCGGCAGGGAACCCCAGCAGCCCCTCCTACCTGTCATTCTCAGGAATCTCTTCCACTTTGCCAAAGCCAGGGGTGGGCACTGGACAGTTCATGTGTGAAGGCTGGGCAACGTGAGGCTCGGGAACAGGGATGTCCCCAGGAGAGGATGCATGTGCTTTCTCAGCATCCAGCCGAGCCAGCTCATGGTCGCAGACGAAACACTCAAAGCCATTGAGGTAGTTAGGCAAGAGAGGATCATTCACTCCCCACTCCCGGTGCTCCAGGCTATCCAGAAGAAACTGGTTGGTGATGCCGCCGGGTTGCTTATACGCCAGGTATTTTATATACTCCTCATCATTCTTATCCAGAAAGTCAATAAACTCGGCAAGCTTTTGAGGGGACTCAAAGTCATCGATTAGGATGATGGAGTGGTTGTTGGGCATCCAGTCCCTCACAGAGGGTGAGCCGCGGTACACCGGCACGGCCCCCAGGTGCATGGGGCGCCACAGTTTTTCCGTCATGTAGTCATGGCAGATGGCATTCTCCAGGGCCAAATGGAACTTGTAGCGGGACAAGAAGGCCAAGAGCTCTGGATCCTCGCCGGTGGCCGTGGCCGTGTCCTGTAACCGAACGGTGGGCAGCTGGCGGTTCTGCAGGCACTTCCCATACGAGTCCACCTAGGCGGGGCAGAGGACCGGGTCAGCAGGATGCAACGCACCCGGCCCACCCACCCCCGCCGCGCACCCGCACCCACCGGGATGTAGCGCATGAGTTCGCGCACGTAGCGGTCCCGGTCGGCGGGCACGTCGCAGTGCGACTGCAGATAGAGCAGCGGCGCGTACCCGCGGCGGCGCCACTCGGCGCGCTCCCGGAGCGGGGGAGCCGCCCGGCGCAGGTAGGCGGCCCCGGGCAGCCACTGCAGCGGCAGCGGGTAGTCCGAGTGGCGGCTGAAGGTGGCCGTCAGGTTAAAGAGGCGGATGCCAGGGCCGTGGCTCAGTAGGAAGTTGTTGAGCGGAGACTCCTCGTGCAGCAGCGCCCAGCTCTGGTGCGCCTGGCGCGGCAGCGGGGCGTCAGCCGCGCGAAAGTCGGTGCCGTAGAAGAGCAGAGCGCGCGTCCGTGGCTCGGCCTGCGCCCGCCGGTCTCGGGACGCTAGGCACGCCCCGCGCGCGCACTCGATGCGCTCCGAGTCGCCTGGGAAGTGGGGGAACAGTCCTGGGCTCCACCACAGCAACACCGGCAGGTCGGCCGTGTGCTCGCGGCCCGGCGGCGGCTCGGGGCCGCGTGCCACCCCCACCGCGCCCAGCGCGGCGGGCGGCCGGAAAACCGCGCCGTCCCACGGCTCCGCCCACTCCACCTCCCCACCCGGCTCGCCCGGCGCCAAGGGCCCGGAGCTAATGGCCGCGCAAACGCTAAGCACCCCCAGGGCGGCCAGGACCCTCTCGGTGCGCCAAGCAGCCATGGCCACAGCAGCCGGAACACTCGGACAGCAGAAGACCCCGCCCTGCGGCGAGTAGGGTGTGAAGCAGGTCCTACGCCACTGGGGCATACCACGCATGCGTAGCTCCGCTCCGCCAGCCAGGGACTTGAATGGAAGAGGTCGCGAGTAACTTTGAGGCTACTGGTTATATCTTATTTTATTTCTTTACAAATTAAAGATGCATTGAAAAATAAACCAATGAGAAATGAAAGGTCCAGAGCAGGGGCATCCCGGGCTGGGAGCAGGCAAGCCTGACCACCGTCAATCCTAGCCCTTGTCCTGCCCCCGCCAGCTGGGGTTGGAAGATAACTGTCATACGCTCAATCAATACCAAAGCCCAGTGATGTCCCAGAACAAGAGGACAGGGCTCCAGCCATCTTTGCCTCTCCCCAACGACTCTCGGCTGTAAGCCATGTTTCCAGTGGGAGCTGAATGGGAAATGGGCTGGCTCTGGAGGTATTGCAAGTTGGTGATCAGGCTCCCCTACGGAACCATCCAGTGTTGGGGCTTCTCTAGCTGGAAAGAAGGCTGTCCTAGGTGTTAATACACTTTGTAATTCAGTTCCCAGGCTCATTCATCTCTGACAACATGCTTCTGTCCACGAAGTGCTCACCAATCATTGCAGGGGAGAGAGAGCACACACAATGGAAGCAGAGAGACAGCTAGTCAGCCATCAGTAACTGACTTGGCTACTGACCTCCAAGCCCCAAAAGGAGTGGCCACTTTTCTCTCCACCACCTGTGGTCTGTACCCCAGCTCTTGTGCACCTGTATGTTTTATCCCTAATATAGGAAGTTGCTGATGACACGGAGCTGAAATTGCCACCTCCTGTAGAAACCCTGGGAACCCACTCCACCCTGCCTGCCCCTTTGCTCTTGGAGGCTGGTCCAAAGGGACACAATATTGCCAGGGTCTGGGTGCCTCCAAACCCCCAACACCGAATCATATACAGTGAACTGAGAAACTACATTCATTACAACAGGATTTGCAGGAGAAAAGAGGGTAGAGTAAGGGGACAGGGACACCTTCCATCAGCAGGACATGACAGAGTGGTAGGATATTTGAGCCCAGAAAGACGGTGTCTCCTTATATATCTCTCCCTCCCCCCCAAAAGAGATTGAGGTCAGCTTACATGACTTATAAGATATGGAACTGTCCCAATTTCTCTGCCATCCTGGGGTACTCTCTGGAAACTGGCCTGGGACCCTATGACATTTACCCACTTTAGCTCAGTAGCTGTCGAATCTCCTTGTGCATATGACAAAGAAAGTCCACATAGGATGCGCCCCCATTTAAGCTCTTGTCTTCCACCAGGAAGTGCTTGAACAGCATCTCCAGCTTGTCCTCCTGTTTCACCACGATAAGCTAGAGCCAAAACAGAGGGTTACTGTGACAGCATCAAAAGGAATGAAGCACCCCCAGAAATCACTCCTTCCCCATGCTCATTCTAGCAGAGAACTTGACAAGGTAAGAAGTCCAAAGTTCAGGCTGGGAGTGGTGGCGCATGCCTTTAATCCCAGCACTTGGGAAGGAGAGGCAGGTGGATCTCTGTGAGTTCAAGGCCAGCCTCGTCTACATAAGTGAGTTCCAGGCCAGCTGGGGCTACAGGGAGATCCTGTCTCAAAAAGATCAAAAAAAAATATGCACAATTGAATATTTGTGTAAAAGTTCTGTGAGGGCTGGATAGATGGCTAAAGAAAAAGAAATCCAAAGTTCAGATCAGTGTTAAGTGTTACTGGGCTGGGGGTGTAGCTCAGTGGCAGGAATACTTGCCTAGTATGTGTAAAGCCTAGGGTTCAAAATTCAGCACAACCAATACAAAAAAAAACATACACACATACACACAATCAGATCAGTGTTACCTTCATATACCGCATTCTCTGTGCTCTTAAGCTATCAATGAGGCCTCGAACTTTCTTGGACAGTGGATTATCCAAAACTGGCAGAACGCTCTGGAACACAAAAACCATTCATTACTAATGATGAAGGGACAGTACATTTAGGTATCATCTGAAACAAGGAAGACAGAAAAACTGACAGCACCTTCCTCCAAGTGTCCCCTGAGATGTAAAGAGACCAGTATTGGCTCTCACTCACATTACAAAGTGGACTTCCAAACCCTTATTACCCTTGACATCCTGCTCTTACCAAGCCACTGGTGATCTGACTGAAGGAGGAGACATTGAAAAGGCTCTGGACAACACCCTGTTGGACACTTGCTCCCACCCAGACAAAGAGGTTGAGCCCATTCTCCAGTAAATATATATCGCCATTGCTTAGTCGTTCTTCAGATGCTCGAACTGCTGGTGGTTCAGTGGTCTCAAAGGGAGACTTTGTCTGGACAAAAGGGGAGAAAGTCACCAAAGACCATAAGAGATTCCTTTATACACACACACACACACACACACACACACACACACACAAACTCAGAAAGCTAAATCCCTAGAGAGTAAATCAATGTGAAATTTATATAAAAACAAAATCCTTGGGGGCTGGAGAGATGGCTCTGCAGTTACAAGCACTGGTTGCTTTTGCAAAGGACCAAGGTTTGGTTCCCGGCACCCACAGGGCAGCTAACAACTGTTACAATGAGTCCAGTGCTCTCGGCTGGCCTCCCCAACCATTTCACAGCATGGGTGCACTTACATACATGCAGGCAAAACATTCAAACACATAAAATAAAAATAAAAACAAAAACTTTTTTAAAACCCAAATTCTACCTAGCATGGTGGCACACACCTTTAGTTCCAACACTCGGGAGGCAGAGGCAGGTGGATCTCTGTGAGTTCGAGGCCAGCCTGGTCTACACAGTAAGTTCCAGGACAGCTGGAACTACAGAGAGACCCTGTCTCAAAAAGACAAAGAAAAAAAAAAACCAAAAACCCAAATTCATTAGTGTCATAGAAATTCCATCCTTCCTTCTCAGAGGCCCTTTCCTTAGTGTCTCAAACTACAGTCCTCAATCCTACCAGTGGTAGGAGCCGAGGGTAGAAGAAGACATTGGTCTCAGCCACATCCATGGAAGACACCAGCTGTCGGACATAGGCACGGTCATCAGTAGTGACTTCAGCTCCAGGCTGCAGAACGTCACTCTTCAATACACAGTTCAGGTAAACTGGGAGTAGCTTCATGCACTCAGGAAGGATCAACTGGCAGATTTATTGAAATAAAGTCAATGGTTATGAAAAATTCTGCACAAAATCCAAACACAAAATCTTGTCCTAACAACCCCTCTAACATCCCTGCCCCACCTGTCCTGCAGAAGAGGAGCTGGCACAGTTCTTTCTGTAACATGCCAGGATCTGGGCACACTGGGTGATGAGAGTGTCACGTACAGCCTTCACAGGACTAGTCAGGACACCCCGGTATGCTAAATGGGAAGGGACAGAGCAGTCACTGGTCAGTACCTACTACATGTCTTCCCACCATCACACCTACCCAGCAGTGATGAATCTTTGGCCACCCTAGACCTTTCTTTCATCCCCAGTCCCGCCCTGCCCTGTCTCTACCCTCACCAAACTTGGCCATGTAGTTGATGAGCGTGTCAGTCTCACAGTTTCGATACAGATCAGCCAGCTGGGTGCAGCAGTTCAGAGCCAGGTTGTGGATGCGGAGCCGACGCTGCCCTGCACAGCTGGTATAAAGCAGGGCACACTAGGGGAAGGGAGAAAGGGGGAACTCATACCCCTCCCTCACAATTCCACCCACTCCTTATCATCTTCTCAGGGAATGCACCCAGCACTTTCTCCCCAGCCCATCTCCAGCCTGCCACCTGCAGGAGGGCTCCACTCTCTTCATTGAGCCGATCATCATGCTTGAACTCCACAGTCACTGTCTTGTCCCCATCCAGCCCAGCCAGCTCCACATCTGTTGTGTTGCTCATGTAGAAAGCGCCAAAGAAGTCTACAGCACGGATACCTGAGGCCATAGGGTTGGGTTAGGGCTAACATGTGATATGTGCCTCCCTCTCAGATTTAGCCCCAACCTGCTCTTCAACCAGAACTGACCGGTACTTGTCCGAACCCGCATCACAGCATCAAAGCCAACCACCTTCTGTATATCACAACGCAGGTCACTCAGGAACCGTTCCTGGTCATTCTCCACCTGCAGCGCCCCCAGGCCCAGAGTAACATCACTAACCACACAGTTCACCTGTAGTCAGTCTCCCTGCACCCCTTCTGCTCTGCAAGCCTGCTTGGTCATAGTAATAATGAGTATAAAACTGAGGGTAACAATGACAGCTTTTACATACCTGTGCAGGTATTAAATACATGGGAGTATTTTATAGGTAACTATTTAATTCTGCAGACAAATCCTAATTAATAAAACTCTACTTTGCAGATGAAAGAAAAAATAAGAAAATCACTAAGTAATTTATCCTAAGCCAGCAAGTGGTGGGACTCCAGTATTAACTCAGGACTGACTCTAAGGTCCATCCATGCATCTAACCATCACACCCTAGGCTCAACTTCATACTCCTCCAACATGAGTCCTGTTAATTAAGTCAGTGGCTAAAGAGCCATTCCCCATATAAGCAGACATTCCCACCACCTAGAATCACATACCTGAAAGCAGGCATATTTGTAGACAGAGCCACCAGTAAGCTGGGGCACAACAGAGAGTGTTGAAACATCCACATACTGGTTAGGGAAGAGAAAGAGATCCACACAGCAGCCTTGGGCCACACACTCTTTAGCCAGAGTCTGATAGGTACCTGTCTGTGGCTGGAACAGAGTCTGGAGAAGAAGACGAAAAAAAAGTTCAAATAGCTCTGCCCTATTTGAGAACTGTATATGTCGAAGAAGAGAAAAAAAATGTTCAAATAGCTCTGCCCTATTTGAGAACTGTGTATGTCATAAGATGTGCTGGTCAGTTTTTTGTCAAACTGATACAAACCAGAGTCACCTGGGAAGAAGGAACCTCAATGTGGGAATTTCCTCCAGAAGACTGGCCTGTGGGCATATCTGTGAAGCATTTTCTTAATCATTAATTGATGTTGGAGGGCCCAGCCCACTGTGGGCGGCACCATCCCTGGGCAGATGAGCCTGGACTGTAAAAGAAGAATGGTTGAGCAAACCAGGGGG